AAGCCTACGAATGGTGGAAACGTACTGACGAAAATCCAAACACACCCAAACCTTGGACTTGGGAATTCTTCGATTGGGCGTTCAAGAAGGAATATATACCAGCTCGATTCCGTGAAGAGAAACGTGCTGAATTTATCGAATTAAAGCAAGGAGATATGACACTCCCTGAATACCGACAAAGATTTGTCCATCTCGCTCAATTTGCACCCACGCTGGTGAGTACAGCGGCGGACCGCATTGAGGAGTTTCGCAAAAGACTTCGACCTGACCTCAGGCCGCACGTATCTACTATTCAAACTATGGATTTCATTGAGGCATACGATCTAATCTCCAAAGCCGAAAAAGATCTAAGTGATTACTATGAAAGTCTGAAGAATAAGAATGTCAATCCAAATGAACAACCAAATTCAAATGGGAAGAGACCCCTGCAAGAAATTGATTGTGCCATTCACTCGAAAAAGGGAAAATCAATGACAATTCAATCGACGTCATCCATGAACAAAATGAGGGCATGGAAACATCCAAAGTGTAATGTTTGTAAAAGACACCATCCGGGAGATTGCTGGCTTGCACCAAGGTCACACAATAAGTCAACATATTGGATTTATCTCTATGAGATTTATCCAGATTGTGATATTGGATATCAATATATGTTTTATTTCGGCCCAAAGCCTAACAATAATTTATTTTAATCAAAAAAATTTGATTAATTGAATAATTATTCATTAATAATTCTAGGGTATATTTTGGGGTGTTACATTTCTTCCCCCTTAAAGAAATTTCGTCCTCGAAATTCTTTTGAGGTTCCACAATCGATATCTTGTTGTATTTACGACAATCATGACCGCGTTATGTTCATTCGGTTAAACCATAATTACGTTATTATCCACATAGATATGTAATCTCAAACTGTCGATGTTATCAAACTCGTTCTTTCTTCAAAAAGTTAACAATCTTAGATTAAGCAAGGTTTCTAACGATCCTTTTTGTGGGTTCCCATTCAAATGAAACATCCATAACCAAGATTCCTTTACAGGGTATAACGTTGTATTTTGAGGCATATTTGACATACTTGCACATCACTCCGTTCATTCACGATTCTCAATTGTACAACATCGATTAACGATATTCTTCCTTTGTTTGAGAGCCCTTCAGTAGCATTTGCAGTTTCAAGTTCGCGACAGATGTAGTTGAAGATTTGGAGGTTATTGTTGGGAAAAATTATAGATTTTGATGATGATGTATTTAGATTGTAATAGGGACTTTAGGTCACCCCCAATATTCAATGTAATTTTCTTTTTAGAAATATTGTTAAAACCGAGTTCTTGAGATTTCCAATAAAACGTGTGATATTTTACTTTGTGGTTTGATGTTACTCTTTGAAGACATAAGCAAATTCAGTGATATGGAAATTGGAAGTCTTGCTCGGAAATGTCAGAGACAAGTAAGGAATTCTCAAAGAATTGAAGCTGTTCACTTTGAAGATTCTCAAATCCGGAATACTTTCTGATACCCGGACGTCTCGCAACAACCCGCTAAAGGCTAACATCCTGATAGGAAGAGTAGCGCGGATTTCTTTCTCACCCGGAAGTCTAAGAATAACTAATCCGGAACTGTCAGCTAAAGAACCGGATGTCTCAAGGAAGACCGGAACTCTCAGAAGCAGACTAGTGAGAAAAGACTTAGAAAAGTCATGAATGAAGAAATTCTACCCGTTGGTAAGGAAAAATCAATTTCTTGATTTTCAACGGCTAGATTGAGAATAATTAAGTTGATTCAAGAACAAATGACTTGAACACAAAGTCTAGACTTCACAAATTGAAGAGCTCGCCCAGAATTCCTAAACAAACACAAGAAGACAAAATGGGCACTCCAGTCAATAAAGAGCTACAGTCTAGAATTCTTGAACAACAGCTAGAGGACGGATTCTGTGAAAAAGGAATTCTTCTTCAAACAATTGGGTATGTCCAAACACCTATTCCAATGAAGAATCCCCAATCTTTCTTCGTTCAAAATTGAAACCAGCAAATGCAACGGATAGTCTATTCTCTTCAACGGATAGATTATCCATCCAACTATATATAGCTTCCATGGAAGACTGGAGAAAGAAAGAGAACAACATATATACCAAGCAATCACGAAAACAACTAAGTTATCTCATTCACAGTTAGCTAAAAGCTTGATAAAGAGAGATATCCTAAACTCCTTATCCAGAAGCAAACTCATCCTTCTTCCAAAGAGCTATAGTGTAAACACTTGATGGTTTCCTTGCCTCAAGTACCACACCATATTGAAGGATACAACTTTTAATCAAACTTCTTGATTAAAACGGGGCACATCAACTTTTCTAAAAGATGATCTTGCAAGTCCTATTGTTCAGATCTTGCAGTTGTTGAAGAAGCGTGACCTTCGAAGGAACAACAAAGCCAGCACGAGTGCAGTAGAAACATTGGCCTTGCGAAGATATACCGTGCATAAATTCACACAAGTGTAATTGTTGGTTCATTATTCAACAACCAACTACATAGTGGATTTTGAGGACGTAGAAGGATTACCCCACCTTCGAACCTCATTAAAGTTTAAGCGTTTGAGAACTGTTTGCCTTAAACTAATTATAGTTTAAGTGTCTGAGAATTGTTGCCTTAAACGAATTACGGTTTAAGCGTGTGAGAATGAAAATTGTGATTTGGCCTTAGACTAATAATATCTAAGAGCATTGTTATGATTTGACCTTAGACTAAGAATAGCTAAAAGCGTTGTTATTATCATTGGCCTTAAATTAAGAATAATTTAAGAGCACTGTCGAAATAATGAATATCTGAATTGAATAACATGTATGGATATAAACTGAACTATATCAAAATCATGAATATTGAATTAAACATTATGTGGATGATATCAAATGATTGATTGCATTTAGATTCAGTTTATATGGATGTTCGATGCATTAGATATGCTTACTCAGCTTTAACGCTGAGCGTGTAGTATGTTTTATTTGCTACATGCAGAATAATAGAAAGAATGATGTGACGTGATCCTGGAGGCAGATGGAGGCGAGATAGTCATGATGGATGTGATGGTTTTGAATTGAAGAACATAAATAAATTATATTTGTGGTTGTGATTTGTTAAGCTTCCACAACATTGAAAACTTTGTACTATTATGAAAAATATTATGGTGATAAATAAAAGTGTTTGAAAAGTTTTAAATTCTTACGATTACCCAGTCAATACTGTAGTCTGAAAGGGGTTGCAGACCTGGACGGATTAGGGTGTTACAATTTGGTATCGGAGCAAATGGTTTTAAAACCGGTCTTCGAATCAAAATTTGATTTAAAAAAATGTCAATCACATCCACGACTCTCACATCCCTCTGCTCCAGGAAAGGTAATGAGAATTTATTTGAGTATATTAAATTTTCATTAGACAACAATCATTAGTACTAAAATGGTATAGAGCGTAGACTCAAGTTGAATTTTTGTACTCGGCAAGAGATGAAAGAATAAACGAAAAATGTATGACTCTCTGATATGATATCAACGTCTTTATCGCATTGCGAATGACGAAGTTGATATGTACCATAAAGTCGCATGGAAGTGAGACGACTCTAGTTAATGTTGATTTTACGAACAACATATGTGAATCCGGTGTCGAAGATCCACATGTGTACTCTACACCGTACGTAGGTCCATAGACATGTCGTGTTGCTATGTACCCTGATATAAAACCTCTAACTATACCACCATTGGTATAGACTGTTGAAGCAACATTTCATTGAAGGCCAACATTACCTCCTTATTAATTTCCCTTCATAAATCTACAGCAATATCTTAATTATTAAATTGACAAAGTTTTTGTAGTATTACGTAATTTTTTCTAATAATTCAAAAATGGTATTTCACGTTAGGGGGGAATTGGTAACGGGGGGTAAGGGAAATTGGGCTAATCGTTCATTTTGTCAGTGGGGCTCATCTATTAAAATCGTTATACAAATAAATAAAATTATATTTTTTAGAACTAGTAAAGAATCTAAAAAATAAAAACTTACCAAGTACATGACTAATAATTTTCTCCATTGTTTGACTAGGCACAAGTTTTAATAATGTAGAATGTGTGGTTGTTGCTTGTATAGAAAAAAAATGATATGGACGACATAACCTTTTTTCTTAAAAAAAGATAAAGAAAGAAAGAAGGAAAATAAAATGTCAAATGAGTTTTATTTTGTCACGGTCGAGTTATTTTTACATTGGCTGGCAATCGATATCATGAAATGATATTGGTGCAATTTTTGATAACATAAGTTCTATTCTTCTGGATTGAAAACAATAACTTCTAACTTTTTAAAACTTCTTCCAATTTCTTCCAACGAATTAAAAAACGTATTTATATATGATGAATATACAATAACATTACATGTCTAAATTTATAAAATATCACCTCAAACACAAACAATGATAAGTTCTTTTTTATCCAAAGTTAAAATTTTCTTACATATTTATTTAGTGTGATCATTTAATTGATCATAAATTCTTCCAACATTTTTCAACCTTTTCAAACTTCTTCCAATTTCTTCTGATATCTAAATTTGAAATTTCAACCAAAAAGAACAAAGATGTAGAATGTGTGGTTGTGATTTGTATGGAAAAAAGCGAAATGATGAATTTTTTCCTTTATAAGAAAACATGAAATATTATTTTTTTTGGAATAACCTAAATAAGAAAGAAGAAAGATAATTATGGGATGGAAAGAGTATTATTTTGTCACGGTCCAATTATTTTGACATTGGCTGGCAATCAATATCATAAGATGATATTGGTGCATTTTAGGACCATACAATGCCTCCATAAACCCCGCCGATGGTAAAAATGGTGTATTAGAAGCAGTAAAACACAAAAACTGGAAGCCAACCAACTGGAACGTTTTCATAAGAACCCAACCCTAGTTAAGCACCAATATACGAGTATATTGAGTAGGTACAGAACATGGTTAAAGCTGTTTTTTCTTTTTAGGCCTCCTCTTTCTTCGCGGTTTGCGCGCATCAGAGTTTGAGCTTTGATTCCCACTATTGCCTGCAAGTGAATCCAAGGAACGTCCTTTTCTGAAGGTAGACCTATTGATGCTATCAGAGGTGTTGCCCGACGACGACACTTCACGCACTTGAAAGGATGGTTTTTTACTCATAGACCCTCCAAACCTTGATTTATTTTGCTGTGAACCAGAGAAGGATTTGCTCGATGGCCGAGGAGGAGGCATTAATGAGCGAGCAGAAATCTGCTTCTGTATGAATGCAGTAAAGAAGATTAATAGACGTAAGACTGTCTTGCATGCCTCCGTCCTGAAACTAAGTTCTCATTTTGCCATTTTGGACGTCCCAATTAAAGTTCTCATTCTTTTTATGCAATGAATTGTGTGGTTAATCTTAATTCTATCACCTCTCAATGAATCTCAGCCACACAATTTCACTTTTCCATAACCTCCACGATAAAGCATATGGGAACTTCATTTGGGGACGGATGAAGTATATAGCAGAAAAATGGCAGAAATGTGGATAGATGGAATACCTGATTCTTTTCATCACTTGACATGCCCGAAGCAGCTTTACCTGAGGCACTAGATGTTTGATCCCTTTCAAGAAATCACAAATGCAATAGAAGGTTAGAAATTCTAGATCATCAATTAATTGAAGTACATATTAACCAATAACGTGTGAAAAGATACAGTATGTCTTGCTTTAAAGCCGTCAATGACTGTTAAAAAAAACGTCAATGACTATACCAAATAATTCTTTTTGTTACACACACACACACACACACACACACACACAAACCAATCCATTACAACAACAAAATACTGCATAAATTTATCAATCATGAGCATGGTTTTAAAAGGCATGAAACACCACCCATAAGACATTTGCCTTGGTTGATTTAAATGAGGCTTACACCTTAAGGTGCACGAGGGTGAGAGGCAGGAGGTTTGACCCTGAGGCTTATCAAGACTTTAGCATTGTTATTATAGAGAAAATATAAAGTCTTGCCCTCTTTAGAATGGGTAAGCCTATAAAATGTATTCGGCTAACTTTTGAAGTTATTGGGCTCCTCAATCCTTCCTAGACACAAGCCTTGCCCTCTCTTCTCTATCCCTTTATTGTTACAAAAGCCTAGTCTTTTTTCTTCCTTGTCCGTTCATTTTTGAATCTTCACCAATAACCAAGCGACCATAAGTTCAATCTCTCATCTATAACTCTACATTAATCTTTTTTTCCTTGCTTTACTATTCCTGTGATCCTTTCTCTGCAGCCTCTCTTTCTCCTTACTCCCTCCCTCTCATTAATCCCCTCTTCACTCATTTTCTTTATTCCCTTTGCTCTTTTTTTAAGTAGCTTGTATAATGACATGAATGAAGATAATTCTTCTCATATTATAGGAGATGGAAAGTTAGTTAACGGTGCTCATACTTTTAAATATTACTAGTATTTAGAAACTTAGAATGTCAAGTTTTAAGCATGTTTTGAGTTTTAGTTATGCTTTGACGTGCAAAATTTATCCTTTCATGTCCTATTGCCTCTCTGTTTTCTGCTTTTTAAAACAATAATAATGTGTTTTTTATTTCAACATGCCATGTTTTATAGAAATTAACTAAAACAATGAATCGTCCATTTTACCCTATTTATTCTTATTATTGATACTCTGGGTATTAATTTGAGGCTTACACCTTGCTTTGCCCCAAGCCTTACACCATATGAGGGAAAGACCAAACCTTTTGACGCTTTTTTTTCCTTTCAAAACATTGCTATGACTAAAGACCCTTGGCAGAAAAATGATGTTTCTATATGAAAACATGGAGAAACAATACGCAAACACAGCAAACTCAATAAACTAGGGTAGATACCTTGACCAATTATTCTTTGGCATGGATGGTTTATGCAATTTCCTCAATTAAAGGTCATGAATTCAAACTTGGTACCGGGAAGAAGAAAGAAAGAAGAGGGTAGATACCTAGTACTTTTATCAGTCAATTCATCATCTGCATCAGCTTCGTCACTAGAGCTTCCACTCACAAAGAAATCATCATCACTTAGATCAAGGAGCCCATCATCTTCACTCCCTGTCTCTGAAGGCAGTAACACAAGCTGACACATTAGTTATTACCATAAATACAGAGATCTCAAGCAATAACATATTGAGTCAATTATGTGACAAGAAATGAAGTATAGATTTGAACACTACAAGGGCATACCTTCCAAATCCTTGCCACTTGCAGCAGCAGCAACTAAATTAGCCTTGATCCTTTTGCGGAATTCATTTCTCTTTTCAACAGTCTCTTCATCCTCACGCCCGGTGAACAAGGATACATATTTCTCAGTTTTGGGAAAGAACTGCAATTAAAATAAAATGTACTCATAGACCTAACCAGCATATTAATAAAAAAGAACGGACTATTTGATAAGCATTGTGCAGATACACTGATCCTGTGTACACTACACTGTGAGGGAACCATAGATATCCATGAGATAGTTGAAGAATCCCTCTCTTGCCCGTGGCTAGAAGAGGAAGAACTTCGGATCCCATAGTCTGTGACTAATTAGGAAGAATTGTTTATCAACAATGATAATTTTAGTAATAATTGTGCAAGTATAAATAGGCAACGTGTTACAAGAGACCTATCATAATCATAGTAGGAAACATGAATTCTTATTTTTTATACGTAGTATTAATTAGCATAGAATAAGAGTATAAGACTACAAATAGGAAACTATTAGTATCCCTAATAGTTATAGAAAGGTAATATTAATAGCAATAGGAAACTAATAATAAATAATCAGAAGAAAGTAATAATAATAATAACCAGTTTAATCCAAGAGCTGTAACGCAGACCTTATACCAAAATACACTATGAAACGAAAAACAATGGCATAAACCACCTACAAACTATAGTATGACAAACCACTCTTCAAAGAATTCTGTCATTAGGGTGGGAATGTATCAGACTATTAGTGCCTTAGTGGGTGTAAAAACTCCACATGCTAGCACATTTATGTTTTTCAAAATTAAGAAAATTATGATGAAGTTAAAAAAAAGGAACTGCAGTTTAGTGCATAATTATCTCCACAATCTCAACAAGAATGCACAAAGGAAATAGATAAACTCTTACCCTAACGTACTCAAGGTCTTCTTTCAGCTTAGCAAGTTGCTCAGCAATCTGTGTTTCATGTGCCTGACCAGAAGTGCGCTGCTGTTTTTCTAACCTTCTTATTTGCCTTTCAATCTTTCTTCTCTCTGGCCATCAAAAGGCAAATTTCACATTATAGTACATCTAGACATTAGGATGATCAGTGTCTGCAACACTGAAAGGGAGATATCCAATTAAAAAAGATAAGCAGTGAAGCTGGTCATTACCAAAGAACTTTATCTTTTTGTTTCGAAGGAATATTTTGCGCTCAACAGCTAGACGATTTTGAATCTCTTGCTGCTTCTTGAATTCTTCTAACTTTTTTTCCTGTGCCTCCCTAATTTGCGGGGGAAGATCCTAGAAAAAAGGATTATGTTAAAAAGCATTACAACCCAAGTGCATAAACCATTGCAGGCGACCAGCATATTGAAGACTTCATTTAAGATAAGTCCAAAATTTCTCAAGAGGCATTGCTATTTCAAGTCCCCTCCAACTGGTGCGTGGGGGCATAAAAAATGAGCGAAGAGATGCTCCCCCCACCCCAAAAAAAAGAAAAGAAAAACAAGCCACTAAAACATCCTATGCTCATTTCTTTCCAAAATGACATCGATATGGAATCCTACTTCTCCCATGCACTGTCCACAGTCCATATACCTAATACCACACTTCTCTCATCTTTTAATATCTCCTTTCCAGCATGGCAGAATCTCCATCCTCTCCTTTGTCTTCATTTGAGGTTAAAGACTAGAAAATAATCTCACTTTTTCTAAATGAATCCCATAGTGAAAAGTTGCACATCAAGCACAAAGGGAACCCAAACTAGTACTTAATTCCTCATCTAACATCATCCGGATTGTTTCTAGAATAACAACATTAAGTTACAACCAATATGCACTTATCTGCTCAAGTCTATCTACTCAACAATTTTTGTTCTCAACGGGGAAGATATGGGCCGGGTCGCTGGGATGAGAGAAGCTGCAGTTTTAAGCTAATTATTGAGCAAATTTTGTACTCTAGCACTCAAAGTCCATACACAGTAAGCTGTCAGTACATGAATTCATCTAATTTGCTAATTTGTAGGAGTAATATGAAGAGCTATCACTATGCATAGAGACTAGAGAGAGAGAGAGACGCACTTTGCGCAACATACGCTCAACGGATCGAATTTGGTTCTTGAGAGAGATACCCTTTGACTTAGGTTTGGGCTTCTTCTCCGCACCCAATGACTTAGGTCTGCGGCTGTTCTTCTGGGAGACCCTCCGCTTACCATATCCACCATGCACCATCCTTCTATATGGGATACATTTATGTTATTATGTATGCATATATGTAGAAAGTGCAGAGATGAGAAAACAAATGATATGATAGTTGATCTGCATGAAAGATCTTACGAATCTCAGTGTTATTGTTCTATAAATCGATAGCTGCGACGTAGAAGTGCCCGAGAAACGGTGACAAGCCGCCGTAGGTTTCCGGCTATGAGGAGGCGCTGTTACTTGGCCATTCGAACCTTCGCTTCTGCATTCTCTTGGCAATAAGGAGCTGCAGCTTAGCGGAGTTCGGAAAAGGGAGAAGATGGACAGACCCGAATAGTTTGGAGTTTTTCGTTTAATACAGGTCCGATTTAATCAACTGGGCCTAATAGAACAATTGGGCTGAACAAAAAATCAAGAAAATATCCGCCCCTCCCCATTTCACTTCCGTTCTCCTCAACAGCCCCACCCAGAATTTTTTTCATCTTCCTCATTTGTTCCTCCCTCCATATCACCCGTTCTCTCATTTCTTTTTTCTTCTCTCTTTGATACGAGCTAGACCTAGCAAATAGATCCGGACCCGATAACTTGAATCGAATAATCTGCAATCGAATTTGAAATGACTCGAAAATTGAAAAATCGAATTATAACCAAACATCTGAAATGATCCAAACCAAATCGAAACTGAATCGAATATATTCAGACCCAATTCAGATTTGAATATGATTGAATCCAAACTGGTTAAACCCAAAACTGATTAAACCCGAAACTGGTTAGACCTGAAACTAATTAAACCCGAAATCGATTAGACCCAAAATTGATTAGATTCGATATTAATCAAATTCATAACAAATTAAACTCAAATTCATTCAAACATAATTGCTCATTAGTTGATATCTTTCTAAGAAAAGCATATTTGAATTATAGGTACAACTTCTTTCATATACAAATCTTTTACTTTATATTTTACTCCCTCCGTCCTCCTATATTTGTTCACTTTCATTTTTACACACCATCCAATGCACTTCTTTAATCCATTTTATCTTGTAATTTGTATATTAAAAAATTATAAAAATTATATATTAATAATTTATATGTTAAGACAAATCAAACAAGATCACACATGACTATATTTAGGCTTACATATTGAGAGAATTTGATGAGTCAAAAAGCTTAGATGAACAATTCCAAAAGTCAAATGTGGACAAATACAGGGGGACGGAGGGAGTATCATTTACCCTAAGGTGGTTGTCTATTTTTATAGAGAGTATATATAAGAAATATTTGCACTAAATAACACTAAAACTTAAGTCATTTCCCTAAATAGTACTTAAACTGTTTTATTTCCAAAATAGCACTTAATAATGTCCAGTGATGACGAATATTTGCTTGAAACTAATGCATAATGACTAAAAATGCTACATTGGGAAGAAAAACACATGTGGTGACATTTAGAGAAAATCATTATGTTATAGTGCTATTTAAGTAAATTCATTTATATATAATTTGGTAGTGGTTAGCTCTAATACCAATCAATACCAGTCAAGAGGCGAAGACCAATAAATCCCACATTAAGGGCTCCTTGTCGACCGGTGTGGGATCTTACCCTAAAATTACAACGCTGTTCCTACATTGGCACACCTGCTTCACTCCCTCTCTTCGTATAGACAGCGTCGCACATCACGTCTCTTCCGCCGGTCTTTTCGGTAGTGGCTCAACCTGCATCTCTTTCGCCATCACGCACCTCCCTTCAACATATGAATTAGGGTATTCTTGAACAGATTATTACCTGGATTATAATTTTTTTCTTGAATTTTCAAACTTTTCAATTTGACCAATTTTACTGAAAAATACTCTATGGCCCCGTTTGGTACACGGAATTCAAACTATGGAATTGGAATTGAGGACTTCAATTCCAATTCTCGTGTTTGGTATCACAAAAATTATGTGGATTTGGAATTGGTAGTGCAAAAAATGAATTGGAATTGGTGAATTCAATTCTATGGAATTGAATCCCATTGAATTTTAATTCCAATTCAATTCTAATTCCATCAATTGCGTGTACCAAACGGACCCTATAATTTTTTAAGGAAAAATGTTCTACAATTTTTGTGTATATTTTTAAGGTCTATATAGATATAGGGTTTGTTTCTTTCACAAACAAGTACTCCGTATTATCTATATGCAGGCTGTAGTTTGGAAACATTGCCCCATTTCTTGAAACTTTACTCTTTTTTTGGAGCTCTAGTTTTTGGAGTTGTTTTGTTCATTTCACAATATCTAATTATATATTGATTGTAAACTGCTTGAGAAGTGCTTATGAACGTATTTTTTAAATCGAGTAAAATGCATACATGAATCATTGATTAAAGAGCAATTAAGACAGTAAAAACCTGAGTTAGTGAATTCTAAATATGACGTTAAAATAAATGTATTTAAACACATGTAAATTGAGTTCAATGACAAAGTTACCACAGTTTACTACAAACGAGACTTGACTCATATAAGACTAATAATTTATGTGAATATCAAATTCTAAGTTTGTTTCAATTTGTTTGTTTGTAAGTGATTTCGCTGTCATTTACTTTGTTTGTGCATGTATTATTCTTGCGATAAGAAAAGGGTGAAAATTTTGAAGATATAGATTACATTGACACTTTTGTATCAGTTAATATGTACAAAGAAGTATCGTTTCTCTTGTTTTTGAGGTAGTGGTGCTGATTTGTATTATGTAAATTCATATTTATTTGTTTAGATTTTTATATAGTTTTCCGCATTTAAATTTATGCATATAAATGTCTATGTTATAGTCTATAAATACTTACTGCTCATAGACATTCATCGTCTTTAGAAATTGTAACACCCCACGTTTACCTTAAAAGTTATAATTAATTCTTAATTATAATTAATAGTTTTATTTTATTTAATCAAGAGTAAGGGAATATAGTTTCAGATCAAAACTTAGAGATTTTTTAATTCTTTATTTTACATTGAGCATTATGTTCATTGGATAGGTCTCGACGAGACGATTCCAACCATATATTTTTATGAAGGAGTTTAAGTTATAGATTAAGAGTTATGACCAATCCAAATTTGTAAAAAAAAGTGAGAAAGATGGAATGGATTAATATTCATTAATTTATCAAAGAAAAAATATTCAAAAGGACATTTTAAATCGTGATCGTAATGTAAACTAGAGTTTAGTGGTATAGTTTATATTTTCATCACAACTAACTCATAAATAAAAAAGTGAAACTTACACCCAGATTGGGGCCCAAGTAGGCCTAGGTAAAAGCAAACCTAAACTATTTTATTTATACCAATGACAACCTGATTAGCACTATTGCTACCTCTTCTTTCTTTGATCTAGTTGATCGAGCCACAACGGCAACGTCAACAAAACATGCCAACAATTGCACAACCACGATAACAGTTCTCTATGATGACGATGACAACAAAGATGAGCCCTAGTGATTCTCTATCTATGGAAACCCTGTGGGAATGAGGTCATTTGTGACCCACGAACAAATGTCGAGCATCGACGAGGTGGTCTCCGTCAGCGGGGGATCCATCGCGGGTGTCTGTCGAGAGTCCTCCCGATCTCTATTTTGACGGAAACGTGGTCCAAGCGGAGAACAAAAAACACAGGGTGTAACCTTAGTGACTCCCATTAAGTGACGATGACTCCTCTCAACTTGTCAAACAAAAAAATCTAGCAATGACGAACTGTGTGCGTCGCCGATAAACAAATCACTTTGTGCGTATATAAAATGTTGAAACACAATGTTTAACGATAATTGCCACATACATTTGAATGTATTGGTCAAAACATTGAAATATTTTACATAAATTTGTATTGTTCTGTCAACAGACGCGTTGATTAGTGTGTGATATATATGGAGCCTCATGAGAACAACGACATCGTTATGTTGTAGGCATCAGGCTAGAAGTTGACACGTCAGAATCACCCCTTGTAACACCCTGATCTGTCCAGGTCTGCATCCCCTTTCGGACTAAAGTATTAACTTGGCAATCGTAAAATTTAAAACATTTCAAACACTTTTATTTATCACAATAATATTTTTCATATCATAAACAGTATAGAGTTTTCAATATTGCGGAAGCTTAACAAATCATAATCACAAACATAATTTATTTATGTTCTTTAATTCAAAACCATCACATCTATTCCGACAATCTCGCCTCCGTCTGCCTTCAGGATCACGTCATTTCATTCATTCTATTAACCTGCGTGTAGCAAATAAAACATACTACACGCTCAGCGTTGAAACTGAGTAAGCATATCTAATGCGTCGAACATCCATATAAACTGAATCTAATTCATAATCAAATCATTTGATATCATGCACATAATGTTCAGTTCAGATAATCAATAATCATTAAAAATATTCATCATTAATTATTCAACATTTATATTCACATTCAATGTTCATTAGTCATTCATAATATTCACAATAATCATCATTCAATATTCAATATTCAACATTCGACAATATCCTTAAACTATTCTTAGTCTAAGGCCAATCACTTTAATGTTTATCAACCCTTAAACAAATTCTAGTTTAAGATAATTAAACTATATTCCAGTATAAGGTACTCCTAAATAATCCTTAAGCTAGGCCTAGTTTAAGATAAAAGGGTTCTACAAAATCTTAAACTTACCTTCACTTAAGACCAACTGGAAACCGACAGCGTAGTGTTCACTGTTGGGTGGGTGGTACCCCCAAATGAGTAGGTACTCAAGTTTGGTTCTTGGATCCCGTACGTACGTTTTAACCCTGGCCACCGGGCATCATACCCGCAAGGCCTAACTTAAATGGGTATATCATAGAGGTCTTCTAGATACACTTCAAAATTAACTTCACTATGGTATATCTTAGAGTTATTCTAGATACCAATGGAATCAATATCAATTAACTAAAGTGGTCATTTGCATATATCTTAGAGTTATTCTAGATATCCTTCTAATTAACATTAATGTGGATATATTTTAGAATTATTCTAGATACCCGTAACAATACATATTATTTTCACAATCATCAATATATTCATTATGATTTCATCATTCATATTTATCATTTTTAATCAGAATATTTATCAAGGTTAAATCATCATAATCACCAATTAATAATAATCAATATAATATTCAATAACAATTAGCGGCCTAGTTTCAGGTATTAACACCCTAGCTTACCGTCATGCATCACACAAGATTTTACTTCTTCAAAAACATCATTTTATTATGAAAAATCATCTTTATAATGATCATAATCAATTGGTATCAAAAATAGGATTTTAGAGCTTAAAAATAGCATTTTTCGTTGTTGTCAGTGTTTGGAACGGTCGACCGTTATTGCAGCAGAGGTATGGGAGTTTTTGGTCTCAAAACGGTCGACCTTGGTTGAGGAACGGTCGACCTTTGTGGCAGAACGGTCGACCATTCCTGCACACTAGCCAACAACACTTCATCTTTAACCTCGGGTTAAATTTTTGAAAAATCATTTTTAGCCACCAAACATCAATTAAACTATATATAAATGTTCTCCAGTGTTCATAGATCATTTAAATACCATTAATTCGAAGTTTTAACAACAATTTCAAGGTTAATGATTCTTGGTTCTTCAAGTATGTCAAACACAAAACTCAACCAAACGACCGTTTATGAACGTAAAAACGATCTATACGAATATTCTAGTCACTAGATATATCTATGGGCTTACCTCGAAGCCAAACGAAGGTTTTGGAAATTTTCCGGTGAAACTTCCGGCGACGATTTCTCCTAACTCCGGCGACTTCACACCATTTTGTGAGCACCACTACATTCCTCATACTCTCAAAAACAAAATGATACTTGACTTAATAAGTTTTGGTGAGGAATGGAGAGATTGAGGGTGGTTTATATAGTAAGGTGATTGAGGAAGAAGCCAAACCAAAATCTCTGTAGGTTTGCATCACTGATCGTAAAATGGAGATAGTGGAGAAGGAGGCGCAGTCTGTACAGCTCTTCCCGGATTAGGACTACTTAATTTGGTCCCAGTCGGGGTACACTTTTTGGTCCAAATTTCTCCGAATTAAATTCCGTTTGCACCGTTGCGACCAGACAATCAAGCTCTATCCAACGACATAGGTTTTATATTTATTTATAATACTTTTTCTGACATCATATTTTTGGGTGTTTGACTTTGACATAGTCAAAATTTATTTAATTGACCTTTACTAAAAAAGGTTCTTACATTCTATTCATTTTATTTATTCTCGTGATTTATTTCAATAAATCATTTCGAAGTTCACATCATAAATAATTTCTTGATTTATTCTTGAATTAGGTCTGTACTCAGGTTCCTAAACAAGGTCACACAATAAGTTAACATATTGGATTTATCTCAATGAGACTTGTCCAGATTTTGATATTATATATCAGAACATACTTCCTTTTGGCCCAAAACACAACAACAATTTATTTTAATCAAAATAAATTTGATTAATTGAATAATTATCTATTAATAATTCTATTGTATGTTTTGAGGCGTTACACCCCTAGTGATCCTACAGAAGTTTTAGGAGCAAAACTTGTTCCCATGTTCATAGTTACTGTCTGGGCAGTTGAAAAGTTGAGCTAAAAAAATCTATCCAGAAGGGATTGGTTGTTTGGTGGAAGACATCTTGTAGATATTGCGTGAGTATAGAAAAATTTACCAAGCAAGATTTTTCAAAAAATATGTCCCAGGGTCGGCGCCAAATGATGGCGTAAATTTTACTAGGCAAACTAATCAGGTAAGTAAAGATAAGCATGAAAGTAAAGAACACAGTAAAGTATAACTTAGACTCGGGCTAATCTTTCGAGTTTGAGTATATTTCTTACTCTCTTTCTAGAGAAATTCAGTTTTGGGGGAATAGAATTCAATGTCGTATCCTATCTCTATCACAAATTATTTTTAGAGTGGCGGAGGCATGCTAGGTGCATGGATGCTGCTCACTTAAAGATAAGTAAGGAGACAACATCCATCATTGTACAATCAATGTTGATTTACTACAAATCTAAAATGGTGCCAAAAGACTATTTCACTAATCTTCTGAATGATGAGGGTGGCTCTTTATGCAGATCTCTGAGATACTTGGGTTTGATGGCAGAGGCTTGACCTAACCGCAACCCCCAACCATGTCTTAGAAACATGACTGGTCACCACATGTCGTGTTCCATGCTCGACCTTTGTGCTTCTCGGTAGGGAGGCAGATTCCACAACCGGTCACCTTCTTTATAGAACGACCGGTCACCTTCCACATTGTTCAACGCCCATTTTTTGCGCACTTAAATACAAAGCTGAAGATCGTGATTGGTCACCCACCCCCAAACAAGACCAGTCACCAAACATGCATTGCCGTAACGTCCACCGACACAGTTCCAATATGGACCTCCATGACCGGTCCTCCCCTGGCCAAGACCCAATTAAACTGGTGATCCCTTGGTGGTTAGCTCACGTTGTACCTAGTTTCAATTTGAAGGGTACATCTGAGTATGTAATATGTCCATCACGAACCATATCATTTTGGGGAATGACATTGAACCCCCGCCCCTCTTCAAAATACTAACCTCCTTTTTTTGCTACTTTGAGTCGACAAGATATTCAGGATGATGTACTTGAACTCGGTGGAAGGCGGTTTGTTTTTTTTCCCTAGATTCTTTCGTGTAAACAAGCATAGGGATAAGGTGATTTAGAGACTAACTAGTCTTTAACTTTAACACTTCCACAGACACGTCGTGGCAACACTAAAGGTGTAGGTCTAGAACTTGCACGTTGTCGAAACTCTCACGAATTTCTAGACCGACACATGATCAAAATAACCCACAGAAGATTAGAAAACACACTCAGATTTCATTCAAACTCAACATGCCCTACAAATGAAAATACAACACCTATTTATAGGTGTGATTAACTTAAGCTAAAAAATAAATTACTAAGCTTCTAAGAAATTATAATTAAGCATCTAGGAAACTTCCTAAGTCAAACTAAAACTCTAATCAAATAAATTTAGTTGGACTTAGTTGATCATGTCTCCCAACCTCCATATAAAGCCAAGAGTGATTAATCTTCAAATCGAATCTTGTCTCCTTAATTACCATGTGACGACAATGGCAATTACCTTGGTAAAATCTTCAAATATAAATCTATCAAATCTCCTTTGTCTTCATGCTCCAACCATGTCAATCAATGCTCCACTGACGGTTGATCGTTTCCCATGAACGGTCAAAGGGATGGACGATTGTTTGGCCCAACATTAGGAATCGTGAACAAGTACCCGGATGGTCGACTGTTGAGTAGTAACAGTCCACCATGTTCGACCACTTGTAGCATGCTCCACTGGAGTACATTACACGGTCGACTGTGTGATGCAAACAGTCCACTGACTCGACCTTGACTTGGTCAGTTTGCTCTTTTTTTCCCATTTATCTTTCAAGTTTTAATGCTCCAATTTCGGAAAGGATATATTTCGTCGTCTTCTTGGGTTTGCCATGGGATACCTATATAAAATCATTAGAAAAGAAATAAATGGTATCCCGTGTGTGTTGGACCCACTCTTGTGAAGTGGTCCCACGTGTTTGTTCATGTCGAAAAATTAACCTTTCGGATTCACATCATCCCTTCCTTCTTCGAAAATATTCGCCCTCGATTCTGTAAGCTCATTGAATGGGATGCCGGGAATGCTTTCTGTTTCCAGTGCATCTTACTCTTCCTCAAATGCAACATCTTCATGTACGTCAGGTACGTCTTTGGTAACCAATGTGCTTTCCTGTTCTTTCACTTCCTCGAGTGCACTTACCTCTTCCATCAAAATTTGTCCATGCATGTGTGCACTTTTCTAGTTCATATAATCCCTCCCAACCACACAAAGATTTGCCCTCGAATCTTGAAAACTAAGGATTTGACGTTCAACTATTTTAGGGGTAGTTGAAACTTGGCGTCTAGGTGGCCCGTAATACCAAGTGTTGGTAAAAGGGTGTATTCAGTACAAATACCTAGCTTTCTGCTTTTTTCGCCTCTTTCACCATGTTGTTGAAAGAATCAAAATTCTTCCCCCATAACTGCACCTGAATAAAGGGAATGACACCGTCCCAAACCTTTCCACCATTGATTCTTCCGGCGGCTGTTGGATCCTTGCCTTGGTCATTAACATATCTATTTCTTGCCAGTATTCTTCAACACTTTGCGTCAACTTTATTCGTAATTCTTCAAGATGCCTTGGGTAATAGACTAAGACTTTGTTCAGGAGCCTTTTTTAGCATCTCCATGTCTCCACAAAGTACGTTTATCTCTTTGCCCTCCCTTGTGAGTCGTTCTTGGAGCTCTCCCTTGAACTCTGCTCTTAGTTCCACCAATTGACGAAGGATTTTTCTAAAACTTTCTTGGGACATTTTTTTTAAAAATACAACTTACAACAATAAACAATAATAACAAAAATAAGTAAGTTTCTTGGGACATTTTTTTTGACATTTTTATGACTTTTTTTACACTTTTTTTTCTTTCTTACAATACTTTTTTTACTTCTTTTTTCATTCTCTCTTTTTTAACAACTTTTTTTGGACTCTTTTTTCTAACTTTTTTTAACACACTTTTTTTACTCTTTTTTAACTAACAAAAATATCAAATGATAACAACAAATGAAGTAAACAATACAACAATGACTAAAAGTACAAGAAATGAAACATACACTCTTTTTGTGTGGACTGATTCTTTTATTCTTTGTTTTTACAATACTTTATTTACACTTTTTTCTCTTGTTTTTTGACACAAGGTAGAACACAAGAGTTAATGGAAATATTAAGAAATGGTGATGGAGTGGTGAAAAAATAAAATGATGATAGAAACAAGATAAAATACTTGTTCGGAAGGAATTAGAACTGATACCAAATGATGCGCTTGTTGGGTTTGTAAAGGCTAGATATGTTTGGGTCCGACTAGGATTGACCCAGTTATTTTAAGCCCATTTGTTTCTTGTATCTTGGAGAAAAAGATTTTTAGCCCTATGTTTCTCCTACATACACACCTTGTACTTGTAATTTCGATAGGCACAACAACTAAATAAAATTCCTCCTATTGCAACTGCGGATTAGGAAAATCGAAACATGTTAAATTCTTGTGTGTCGTTTGTGTTCTGTTCTCTCGTGATTCTCGCAGATATTTGTGTGTGTGTTATTTGGTTAATTCCCAACAAGTGGTATTAGAGCAAGGTTATTCAACACTAGCACAAATAGTAGGGGGTGAGCATGGTATGGTATTTAGCTCGTACTGATACCGTACCAAATATTTCGGTTCGGTATGAGATTTTATGTTGTACCGATCCCGATCCCAAAGCATTGGTTCGGCATGGTTTGGTATCAGTTTCGGTACAAATCGGTATGAATATATACGTACCTAGTCTACACCATAAAATGTAACAAAACCTTTTATTTTTGAAAAACCAAAAGTACATTTAACGAAGAATGATAAAAAAAATTTAAAAATGAAAAAATAAAATGCAAGAAATGCTTATGAAAGTTAGGTTATATTTCACAAACTAAAGAGAACGAGTGATAACAAAGTATTATTTCAAATGTTTGTTAATATTCTTATACTCATCTACAAAAAATAAAAAACTCTTATCAAAGTGGAACTTACACATAATGAGCTTACACATAAAAAACTCTTATCAAAGTGTAGCAGGAGCTCCGATCTAGAGATCAGCCGCCGTCGTGCAGATAGGAGCGTCGTCGCGTCGTTAGCTATTCCCGTCCATTCAGAGCTGCTGCCATCCTCAGATCGACGTCGCTGGTTTGAGGAGATCGCCGCCACAGCTGTCCACGTCGAGAGCATTCAGCCACGCGCAGACGATGCCGCCTCCGCTGAGCAATCAGTAGTGCAACCATCATCCAGTATTGCCACCGATTAGATCTCCTGTTAGAACACTGGAAATACATTTGAAGCCCCGGGGCTTCAAACTTTTTCTCTCTGCCACGTCAGCTTTAACTTACACCCAAAATTCACTGGAAATGGGTTTGAAGCCCCGGGGCTTCAAACTAGGGCTTCAAACCTTAATTCTTTACATTTTTAAATATACATCTTCTAAAATTAAATTAATAAAATGTAATTAATTTATTATTTAATTATATTGAAGCACGAATAATAAAAAAAATACATTCATTAAATAAAAAAAAGCGACAATAATAAAAAAAAGATACATTAATAAAAAAAACTAAGGAAAAATATATTTCTCCTTGATCTCTTTTATTCTCTGCTCGTAGAGCATTCGTCCAATCTCCGACAACGTCCCGGGGTCGGTTTCCATGACTTTCATCTCGGCCTCCTGCTCCTTTAGCTTCAACCTCTCTTGTTCTCGGAGATTGAACGCCCGAAGTTGTTCAACCATTTCCCGGCCGATTTCGTCGCGGGAAGAAGCGGAAACAGAGCCAGACCCTCCCGAACCCGAGGCAATGGATTTTGCCTTCTTTTTTCTGATCAGCCGTGGAATGGGGTCCTCGTCATCGGAATCCGCAACGTTGAAGGGAGGGATTTGATCGGTCGAACTGATAGTCTCGTCGACCTCAACATCGGCGTCGACGGAGGATCTTTTTCGGAACGATCCGCCGTCGGGATTGTTGAGTTGTTTCCACTTCGAGGAATGGCTCAAAATCCTCCAAAGATCGATGGGCACCTTGCCTTGGTGCCCGTCGTTTTGATACTGGGCCGTGGCAAGCCGGAGAACATCGGCGTCGTTCGTCCCGCTTCTCCGGGATCGAGAGCATTCCTCGTAAACTTTGATAAACCTTCAGACTTTACGGTTGATGTGGCTCCATTTGGAAGTGAGTTGGTCCCGGGTTCGGTAGGAGCCGTCCTTGTTCATCGCCGTGAAGAACTTCTCCTCGATACGATCCCACATCGCATCCTTCGTTTGCTCCGAACCTTTAAAAAAGTATAACACAATTTTTTTAGACACCATTAAATATAATATATATAAATAAAAACATAAATATATTAGAAAAAATAAATTTTTTACCAATGATAGGATGCTCGGAGAGGTCAACCCAAGCCGACGCCAATGATAACTTTTGGATTGACCGTGCTGCCTCGGTCATCGTGCCTTTGGCTTTGTGGCTTTTCCGGCGTGTACTTTTTTTCGACCCGGTCGGTTCTAGTTGAGTCTCCGGAACCAAATCTCGCTCGACGTACCCCGATTGTTGCGTCTCGTAGATCGGCGGTTGATCGCCCCACTCTTGGTAATACCACATCGCGGCGTCGCTTAGCAGGAGATTGTCGGGAAAGAAGCCAGAGCCGGAAGGATTCAGGTTGAAAAGAGAAGGGGTGATTTCAAAATTTAAAATTTGGGAAGAAGAAGATTGAAGATGGAGAAGATGTGAGAGATTGGTAGGGGGGTTTGAATTTATAAGAATTTTTTTGGTGTTCAACGGCTATTATAGCCGTTAAGGGGGAGGGTGAGAGGAATGACGCAGCATCATTCGTTTGACGCAGGACTGGTGACGCCTGGGTAACGCCGCCGGGGGGCGGTGTTTAACGCCCCCAGGGCGTTAAAACACCCCTAACGCCGGTCGACGTTATATGTATACAGCAGGGAACCTTTTGGTGAGCGGATAAATTCCTTTACTTTGGGCTTGATATTTTGGTTTTGAGCTTATTTTGGTTTCGGCTTGTGGTTTAGTTTGGACTAATTTAATTAGTGTGGTGGGCCTGATTTTTTTGAAGAAAATACCTAGATATGAAATTAGTTGTACCAGGTATCTCGTCTAGTCATCTCAGATGGCAGAAAATGGAAAGTTTCAAATTGAGAAACTCAATGGCACAGATTTCAGTTAGTGGAAGATGCAAATTTAAGACTTGCTGGTTTAGAAAGATTTGGACGTGGTTTTGGGTGACAAGCCAGAAAAGATGTTAGATGCAGATTGGGTAGGTTTGGATCGGAAAGCTATGTCGTGATTCATCTCTCGTTGACCAAGAATGTTTCGTTCAACATTCTGAAGGAGAAGACAGTAAAGGGAATTATGGCAGCGCTGTCTAATATGTACGAGAAGCCATCTGCACCGAATAAGGTTTTGTGATTAGAGAGCTAGTAAACACAAGGATGAAAGAAGGCACTTTAGTTATCGAGCATATCAATAAGCTAAATTTGATCTTAACCAGACTTGCTTTAGTGAAGATTAAGTTCGACAATGAAGTTCTAGCTTTCCTACTGCTATTGTCTTTGCCTGATAGTTGGTCTGGAATGGTTACAGCGGTTACCAGTTCAGTGGGGCCTGATGGATTCACTTTCGAGTAGATTTGTCATCTCGTTCTTGGCGAGGATGTCAGAAGAAAGAGTTCTGGGGAGTCATCTGGTGAATTGTTACATGTTGGCAGAGGTAAGAGGAATAACAATAGTAGTGGGAGCAGGAACAGATGAAGGAGTCAGTCAAAGACTCGTGACAGCTCAGGTGTAACGTGCTGGAAGTGCAAGGAGGTTGGGAATTTTAGGAATCAATTCCCAAATGATAAGAAAGTGAACATTTCTGAAGGCTCTGCGAGTGACGAAGAGGTCTTTCTAACTTGTTGTGCGAATAGCAGTGTGGATTCCTAGGTCATGGGTTCTGGTGCTTCATTTCATGCTACCCACAGCGATGAATCATTGTAGAATCTGGTTATTGGGGACTTTGGAAAGGTGCGACTAGCAGACGATAGACCTCTTGATGTGACAGGCATGGGTGACATGGTATTGCAGGCCCCAGTCGATTTCTGGACTTTGAAGGATGTCACAATGATTACAGCTTTGAAGAAAAAGTTTAATTTCTGTCAGGCAGTTGGACGAACAAGGACACGAGGTGAAGTTCAGAGATGGGTAGTGGAAGGTTGTAAAGGGAAATCTTGTCATGGCTCATGGAAGAAAGAGAGGTTCACGGTATATGGTCGAGTTACCATCTGAGGGAGTGACCGTCCAAGTTTAGAGAAATAAAGTCAAGTTCACAGAGTCTCGTGGGCAGAGGAAGGTTGTCTATGCAAGGAAGAAACCCATAGCCACAGGTCAGACTAAGGATAAATAAGCGAGAAAAGGTTCAAGGAGGCCAGTCAGAGGTATTTGTGACAGTGGGAGCTTAGGTGGTGCTTCAGCCAAGGTTCCTAAAAGACAGTGGGTAAGGAGAACCAGTATTCCAGCTGTTGAAACACCTCCAAAAAATTTCCTGCTGAGTATGGAGATTGTTTGTTCTCGGGATGTTCTAGGATCCGGCAGTGTGCGTATGCAGTGGGAGCGAGTAGGGACCGAGAACATGTTAGGGGTAGATTTTGTAACACCCTCCAACTCGTGAACCCGTTCACCATGACCCGACGGGCCAAAGGCATTACATAGATGGTATTAAGGACCATCCAAATAAATACTTTGATGAAAACACTTTAAGATGAAATCCTTGACATGTTTATATAAATATAATCCTTGGGAATTATTTCCCTAAAACTGTACGAAGTAGATAAATCGTTTAAGTTGTGGAAGTAAAGAGAAAATGAAACGTCCAGTCCATAAAGTAAGTGCAACAAGGGTGGGTTCAAGCGCAAAACATTTTAAAATACTAATATCAAAGGAAAAAGTCGTAGGAATCCACAATCGCCATTCGTGCATCTCCTCACTCTCGTGTCCCTACGGGATAGGCCCTAGGTTCATCAAGCCTACCTGCTTATAGTAGAGACAATACTATACGCTCAGCATAAGCTGAGTGGTAATCTAGCAATAGAAAACTTAGTAATAGTCCATATAGGTACACATATATTCATACATGTACTTAACATATGTAATTCATATAATGACCAAGTAATTCACTTAACGACCAAATGTACCATGCCTGCACTTGAAGTACGGAAACCTCATAATGAGTACATGATGTACGATGCATGAGTTAGCCGTGTAGGGACCCACTGCGCTCCGATGTCATCCCACGAAGGCAATGAGTCGGGCCTACCTTAGTCTCTTAACGAGACTAGCAATAATGAGTGGTAACCGAAAGCCTGATTACCATGTACGTACACAAAGCCCTCTAAATGAAACCCGTTGGACCCAAAGGCTCATGGACGGTCCGCTATAAGAGGCGCACTAGGCCTAACCTCTTAAGCGGTTATGCCATGATATGAATGATTCTAATATCATGCGTCTACGTCATACGTGATGGAATGAATGATGACACAACCTTTAAATTCAATCATGAATATAACAAAAAATATAGTATTCAAACAATAGATGATGTCCATGATGGTATTTAGTAGCGTGTTCGTGGTCAGTCGGGTCAAGGGGTAAAAAAACGGAGTTTCTGTCCGGTCTCTAGTCACGGTACGCAGATAGTAGGCCGTCCCGTGACAGACGGTAGACCATGATCGTGACTGTGGCAGACGGTCGTCCGTCCTGTGGCAGACGGTAGTCTGTGATCGTAACCATGGTAGACAATAGGTTGTCCCATGGAGGATGATAGATCGTCCTATGGCAGACGATAGACTATCCCGTACGGTCGTCCGCGGTGACAGTCCCGACGGCGTGTTGACGTTTTTGGTCCATTACATAGTTTTATATCTTGATAATTTCCTATGATTTCTAGATGCTATTCACCGAGTTTTAAGTCACAAAACAACATAACGAAGATTCTACGTTTATATGTATTGAACGTAAGTTTCGTCGAGTAATCCAAGAGGTGGAATTCGGATCAACCGGATCGATTTCGGGTTGGATTTTTTTGGTTCGGATATCTTTCGGTTATATGTTATAATCGGTTCGGATCGGATCTGATCGGTTAAATTTTAGTTTGGATTTGATTCGGTTCGATACATTTTTTCGATTCGGTTCGGTTTCGAATCGGTTCAGATACGGTTCGGTTATAAATCGATTCGGATAGATTTTAGTTCGGATACAATTTGAGTCAGATATATTTTGGTTTCGGGTCTAGTTCGGTTCAGATATATTTCTGTTTCGGATCAAATATATTTTGGATATATATTATTTTCTAATTGAAATTTAACTATCCATATTTCTTTTTATGTTTTATCACATTTATCTATCATCAATTCAATACCTCATATTATTTTATATATTTTTCTAATTATATTATTCCTAACCTAAATAATCTTCCCTTTTTAACTTTTTAGTCATATTTTACAAATTTGGACTATAAATTGTGAAAACATATATATTTAATTATGATATAAATTTAATATAATTAAATTGATTTTGAAATATCAAACTTTTCTCACAACTACTAATATACTTATGTTTATAAATGAAAAGATAAGAGATAAATTCAAATAGTGTTATGTTCCATTTGAATATAATTTGGTAAAAAATTGAGTAAAATTGGGTGAAATTAAGTGAATTTTATTCAATTGAGTGCAAAATTTATAAATTATTGAGTGTATTTTGTTGAAAATAGATTAAATAAAATTTAATAGAGTCAAATATAATTAATTTTACACTTAAATGTAATGGTGAAGATCAAATTTGGAAATGATAACACTAAATGTTGTCGCTAGAGAGTCTTCAAATATAAATCCATCAAATCTCCTCTGGCTTCATCCTCCAACCATGTCAATCAATGGGTCTTCAAAAGATTAATTTTAGTGATATATTAGAATATTAATCAAATCAAGTGGTTGTTAGGATAGTTAGGAAATTCCTGAAACCCTAACTAACGCTGGATGGTCAACCGTTCTTTTGAACAGTCCAGTAGGTTGACCGTTGATCGCATGCATGTACGTGGTTTCCTCCTAGGTCCGAGTGATGTTTGACTGTCTCCCTTGGGGATGGACCGCCATTTGGCCTGACATTAGGAACCATGAACAAGTACCCAGACAGTCAATCGTTGGCTAGTAACGGTCCACCAGAGTAGCATGCTCCGCCGGAGTACATTACACGGTCAACCGTGTGACCCAAACAGTCTACTAACTCCACTGTGACTCGGTAAGGCCGCTCTTTTTTGCCCATTTGTCCTCTGGGTTCTAATGCTCCAATTTTGGTAATGGTTTCTTTCGCTGTCTTCTTGGGTTGGCCATGGGAAACCTGAATAAAATCATTAGAAAAGAAATACACGGTATCCCGCGTGTGCTGGACCCGCTCTTGTGAGGTGGGACCCACGTGTTCGTTCATGTCGAAAAGCTCACTTTTCTGATTCACACCAAAAAAATGACAAACCAACGTGGAAATAAAGCAAAACATTATAACGCTCTCTTAAGAACCCTCATGGTCAATTATTTTGAGTTGGAGCAAGAAACTTATATTGTGACAGCTTTTCCTAATGACATGGAGAACGATCAATTTGAGGAATTTTAGTCACACACAAAATGGCCAAAATAGCGACCAAAGGCTTGGCTTCCAAAATGATCAAAACAAGATGTTGCAACCCAAAGTTGAAAGAAAGTTGTGAGAAATTATGCTAAGCCACATTTCAAGACACTGGTCGTCATGCCTTCGCATAATGGAGTATATCATAACCATTAATGGCTTCAAGGGTCGCTTCTATTATGTGGGCCCAGTTGAACCCACAAGGTCAGATGGAAAACATACCAAAGAAGTTCATGCAATGCTAAGGGTACACTAAATGTGTACCTTATTTGTACACCAACACCCTCACACCACACATTCCTTATCTGCTCTTCCATCTTATCCACTCCCATAATTGTATGGTAGAGAAACTAGTGTGTACTACTTTTTGGTGTACCCTTGTCATTTTTCAAAGAATTATACCCCTATGTGCACTAATAGATTAATACAAATACCACCCGAGTTTCATAGTTTGAAAATAGCCCTTTCCTTTCGTTTTTCACTCTTTTCTTTGCAATTTCTTTACTTTTTTCTTTTTTGTTTTATTTGCGATGGCGTAAGATAATGGTTTCGCTTTTAAAAAAACGCTGACACTTTTGTTCAAATTCAAATTTCGGTGGTTACACGTCGATAATTGTTAAGTAATTTACACAAATCGAGAAGAAATTAAATAGATCAGCATGCAACACACTTGAATAAATACCCGTTAGTTAGAAATTCTACGAATCAGGTTGCTCATTTATTAGGTCAAACATCTGATTCTATGTCAGACTATCTGGAGTGATTGTCTCTCCCTCCATGCTTTATTTGTGACGTGTTACAACGTGATATTAATTAATGAAATACCGAATGATTTTCCAAAAAGAAAAAAGAAAAGAAATACGAGTACTAAATACAATACTTAACAATGATCATAATTATAGTCTAAAAGTATTATTTTTAATGTTTCTATCATGATGTCTGAACATAGATTCATCATGCACAAGAACTATATAACTTGATCATCAAAACTTGTGAGAATTAGTCTGTAATACTCTGTAACCTCTCACTTGATCACATCCCATTTTGTTATGGATGCTAGCCCAGCTAAGAATTAGTCTGTAACAAAGGGAAAAATAACCCTCACCAAATGAAGGCGCAGGAAGAAATCAAGAGAGCATGAACAATTTACGAATTGAGAGAGCATCAATGTACGTAAAAGCTCAAAACTTTAAGGCTCTGGTTCAATGACCACAGGTTGTTCTCCTTCAAGCTCTGAGATTACAATGAGAGAGTCACCAGGTTGAAGACAAAGGGGCTCAGACTTGAGAATTGGATTGAGAACCTGCAATGATCAGATAAAGATGAGTATTAGTTTGAGGCCAAAGGCATCCTCCAATAAGCAAGCATGTATGCAAACATTTACATTTTTGTTGCTCTTGACATATCCGATGGCAACTTCTCTTCGCAAATACGCTCTTTCAGCAAGCTCAGCAAAGGATGGATTCTCCCCTCCCTTCATGTAGAGCCTGATATCCTAGAAGGGGCAGAAAAAACAATATCAAGTCAACAAAGGATCAAGGAATTACCGATATATGTTCTTGTGCATGCCCATTCAATATGGTGCATGCATGATTATAGAATACATTAGGATATTTTTTTCTAGGTGACCTACAAGTCTACAGCAACGTGGCTTAGAATGCCCCCGGACATCAAGTTTAGGAATTGTACAAATCTCCACATCAGGTGTACAAAAACGCAAACAAAAGTAACTTTCAGCATTTCTTAGGGT